TAGCCTCCGATCATTACTTGCTGATCGTCAGGATGAGATTGAAACTCAAAAAGCACTGGACAACGTGACGGACAATATCCCAAAAGTTTAATACGGCTATTCTTCGGGATAATGACAAACGCAACAAATTCAAGATAGTCCTCAGCAATAAGTTCCAGGCCTTTCATGATCTACTCAATGGAGAAGGAACTACTATGGAGAGCAACTGGAAAGAGGTAAAAGAGGCAATCACTTCAACATGTCCTGAGGTTCTGGGCCACAAGAAGCACCATCGCAAGGAATGGATCACTGTTGATACACTGGATAAGATCCAGGAAAGGAGGAACAAGAAAGCAGCAATCGATACCAGCCGAACCAGAGCAGAAAAAACCAAGGCACAAGCTGAATACACTGAAGTAAACAAGCAAGTGAAGAAGAGCATCAGAACTGAGAAACGTAGATATGTGGAAGATTTGGCAGTGTCGGCGGAGAAGGCTGCAATAGAAGGAAACATGAGACAACTGTATGACACAACAAAGAAACTCTCTGGAAATCACCGTAAACCAGAACAACCAGTGAAAAGCAAGGAAGGCAAGGTGATCATCAACATTGAAGAACAACTAAACAGGTGAGTGGAACACTTCAAAGAACTCTTGAATCGACCAGCTCCACTGAACCCACCCAACATCGAAGTAGCTACCACAGACCTCCCAATCGATGTTGGCCCACCAACAATTGAAGAAATCAGCATGGCCATCAGACAAATCAAGTGTGGCAAAGCAGCTTGACCAAACAAAATTCCAGCAGAGGCACTGAAAGCAAACGTAGCGGTGACTGCAAGGATACTCCACATTCTCTTCAGAAAGATTTGGGATGAGGAACAGGTGCCAAAAGACTGGAAAGAAGGACTTCCCTCAATACCAGGAAACGTCTTCAACAGGGTATTGTTAAACAGAATAAAAGACTCCGTACTCGCCCAACTTCGTGAACAACAGGCTGGATTCCGTAAGGATAGATCGTGTACAGACCAAATCGCAATTATACGGATCATTGTGGAACAGTCAATCGAATGGAATTCATCACTATATCAGCTTCATTGACTATGAAAAAGCATTTGATAGCGTGGACAGCACAACACTTTGGAAACTTCTTTGACACTACGGCGTGCCTCAGAAAATAGTCAATATCATACGGAATTCCTATGATAGATTAAACTGTAAAATCGTGTATGGAGGCAGCTGACGTACTCATTCGAAGTAAAGACCAGTGTCAGGCAAGGTTGCTTACTCTCACCCTTTCTCTTTCTCCTGGTGATCGACTGGATCATGAAAACATCAACATCTGGGGAGAAGCATGGGATACAGTGGGCAGCTAGGATGCAACTGGATGATCTAGACTTCGCAGATGATCTGGCTCTTCTGTCGCACGCGCAACAACAAATGCAGGAGAGGACGACCAGTGTAGCAGCAGCAATAGGTCTCAATATACATAAAGGGAAAGGCATGATTCTCGAATACAACACAGCATGCGACAATCGAATCACACATGACGGAGAAGATTTGAAAGATGTAAAATCCTTTACATATCTGGAACTCAAAACAATTGGCAACCAACATCAAGGTCAGAATTTTCAATACAAATATGAAAACAGTTCTACTGTATGGAGCGAAAACCTGGAGAACTACGAAAGCCATCGTCCAGAAGATACAAGTGTTTATTAACAGTTGTCTACGCAAAATACTTCGGATCCGTTGATCAGACACTATGAGCAACAACCCACTATGGGAGTGAAAAAAACTAAATTCCAGTGGAGGAAGAAATCAGGAAGAAGCGATGGAAGTGGATAGGACATACATTGAAGAAAGCACCCAAATGAGTCACAAGTCAATCCCTCACATGGAATCCTCAAGGTCGAAAGAGGAAAGGAAGACCAAAGAACACATTACGCCGAGAAATGGAGATAGACATGAGAAGAATGAACGACAATTAGATAGAACTAGAAAGGGAGGTCCAGAGCAGTGTGACTTGGAGAATGCTGGTCAGTGATCTATGCTTCACCGGGAGTAACAGGCGCAAGTATGTAAGTATGCTGACGACCCAGAGTCAACGTGAAAGCTATAGTCTGAACAATGACAACGTGTCTTTAAACTTTACTTGCTTCTAAATGTAAAAACAATTCGATTAGTACAATAATTATAGGAATTTCAGTCATTGAGTGAAACGCACAAACATACCGACCAGTATTGCGTGTCTTAATGAAATGAATAAAACTTATTTTTATGTTCGCTACTTGATTAACGCAGCATACGGTATATAATTACCGCACTCGAATGTATAGAACCCCATAGTCGCAAAGTTAGAAGACAGAAGACAGCTGGAGAATCGTTTGTTGGGTAAGAATCAAATTGTACAGAAAATCATTTGTATTTATAAATATTAACGTTTGTAATAACATCATTATAATTCAGCCAATCTGCAAGGAGGCAAGTTGTGCTACTGTCCAATGGTACGTTCATATTCATTTTCAGAAAACAATGTCGGAATGTGATGTGAACAGAGATACATGGAAGCCTTGTCGAACAACATAGCCATTTTTGGCGACGTTATTTCAATTAATTCAAAGCTTGTAAAACACTAACATTTAGTTTTGTTTCTAGTTTAGTCTACAAACCGTAAGCTGTATTTTCTACCCTGATTCCTAGTTCTGGACATAGTTGAATTTTCTAACCGTTTGTGTGTTATTGTCATGTTAGTCATCTTTTTACTACTGTGTCTTTTCACACTAATTTGGATTGGAATCGGGAATCGTAGTCGGAAATAAATCGAGTAGTGTTCCAGTTGATTTTTCTCTCTCACTCACTCGCTTGCTAACCAATTATTTGATAGAATAGTTTTCATCTCTCTACCTCAGGGCAGTTAGTCGCAATGAGATCTCAAGCATGTTAGTCTCAAGGTTAAGCCAGCTAGCCTATCGTTCAAGGACTTAGTCTAGATCGATACAAGTTATCTTCTGTATATTATTGGATAGACATATCAAGGATGTAGCAAAAGTGACGACGGAGATTTTTTTATCTTGATTGATCCAAAACAAAACGTCTATATGTTTGGACGACCTTAAAACTATTCCACAAAGTCAGCAAGTGCAGAGTGATGCAAATGAAATGAACCTTTCGGATGCACTAAGGCGCAAGCTCTCATTCTATTCAATTTCAATCAGATAAATCTGAAATCATCGCAAATTCCATTTATGAAGTCATCTATGATCCTGAATCTGGCATCAAATTCGATTCCTGGTTTCATCGTTTCGATTACATATTCCGTGTCGAATGTTCAAATCTAGATGGTGCAGCTAAAGCTCGCTTATTTCTGAAGAAACTTGAAACATATGAATATAGTAAATATGTGGATTTCATCCTGACACAAAATCATAGGGATTTATCTTTTAATAATACAGTCCAAATACTATCCAAAACGTTTCATGAACAGTCCTCACTATTTAACATTCGCTATCAGTGTTTTCAAATATCAAAACCTCCATCTGATAATTATCTAAACTATGCTGAGAAAGTAAATTAAGAATGCGAACGATTTAAAATAAATGAAATTACAGCAGACCGATTTAAATATTTGATTTTTATCTGTGCATTACAAAATCCAGAAGATGTGGAAATCTGCATTAGGATTTTAACGCTCATTGAGCAAGAACCTAGTATGACTTCAAAAATGGTCACAACCGAGTGTCAACTTCTGTTAAATTTCAAACGAAGCTCAGAAAACTCACCACAGCCTGTTAACACACCACCAATACCATGTTGATTTTGTGGACATAAAATTTTGTGAGATTATTTTCATTCAGGAATCACAAGTGCAGTCATTTTTATCGCACTGGTCATAAAGAAAGTCACTGCCCATCACATAAACTCTCGTCAAAATGTCGTGGGGAAAATGTGAAGCAACATTCCCAGAGTCAAATCAAGAGCATGTTTGAGACTTTCAAATTAAACGGAAGTATGTAAACTTATTAATGAATGGAAAACCTATTGTCTTCAGTTAGATACGGCTTCCGACATTACATTGATTTGCAAAAACACGTAGCGTAAGCTAGGATGTCTACACATTCAGCTAACCGTACGTGTTGCCTGAAATACCTCAGGAAATATAGTGAGGCTAACAGTTGCAACGAGATGCATTTCAAAGAACATAAATTCGATAATGTTTGTTATCTGATGAATCAGCATGATTTGGATCAATTAGGCTAAGATTAGATCAAGAAGATTGATGCCTTAAATAGTTTATTAAGTAAGATATGTTCTCATAAACCTTCCTCTGAATCCGTCCGAATTTCTTATAATATTTTTGAATCGAACGCTTCCGATGTAACATGTTCTCATAATGATTTCAAATTAAATGCCTCCAATAACACATGCTATCATAAGATTTCGGAATCTCATTTGTATAATGCTTTGAACTAATTATCAAGTGTGTACAAAATCAATATAAAGATAAAATGTATTAAGTTGAATGAACATATGTTTTCAGATAATGTATTTTGATTATATGTTTTATAGAGTTAATAAATCTTCATTTTCACCGGCTTATTTTATGCTCACTTTACATTGTAGTAATTAAAGAGTTCCCGTCTTCTAAGTATAATTAGCTAGAAATTTGTGCTAATGATGTTGTTCAGAAGAACGATGAAAGCTCCACGACCAAACCATCCAGCTCAGAGAACAAAACTTCATCAAAAGTATAATCAGTAAGATGATGAATATTACAATTATAAAGAAGTGTAATTTGTTCTAATTGAAATAGTCACTTTCGTATTTAACATAAAATGGCACTAACAAGTCAGCTGTTTCATTTTTTTAGTTATTAGATTTGTTACAGTGCACTGAGTGCACTTGGAAAATTATTTATAGATGATCATATTATAATGGAATATTTTATTTCAACAAGAATCTGTTAATTTATAAATTATTGACTAAAGTGGCTTCCATTTTATGGAAATAAAAATGAACTTAATGATCTGGATATTTTCGATATTTGTGACAACTGTTTTCTCACAGAATGAGGTACAATTTGGTTTACGCGATGGGAGTGAAACAAATAAACATGAGAGCAATCAAAGAAGAACATTAGATGAGAATGACAATAGTAAGGACGAATCCAGATGGAATAGAAGGAATAGTATGGGAAATGGTTTAGAGACAGATATTGGGTCAGGACGTTTCAAATATAAATATAAACGCATGAAAGCTAAAGGTATCGATGCAAAGGGGAAATTTCGATCACGTGGAGTTAGAGGTTATGGTATGGTCTCGTCAGAATCCTCACAATTTCTAATTGAAGAGAGTTTGGATAAATATGGTCGAGCGAAACCTATTAAATCAAAATTCAAAACTTATGGAAAAAAGAAAAAATATTCTAAAAAGATCGTTGATGATCAATTTGATACTAAAGGTAATTTAATTGAAGAACGTAAATATAAACAAACTGGTAATTATCAAGCGAATGGTACTCATCTTTACATCGATTTGCAAACACAAAAAGAGTTGGATGAAAAATGGAGATTAACAACGAATAATAGTGAACGGCAGAATGAAAACTCAAGTACGAGTGTGGACACTCATAGACGTAGTCGTGAAACAGATAAAATTGTCCGCCCATCAGAAAGATTATCTTGAGGTATTGAAGTTTTCTTCAATGAATTAAATTATATCGAATTGAATAGTTTTATCTAAAATAATATCCTACTTACTATTTCCTTATCTTTATTAATCCTGTTTCACTTTCTAATAATCATAATCAATTTAAAATGATCTTTGTAAATTTTAAACAAAAAGCTACATGTAAATCTTGTAATATGAACAATAGATTATACAATACTATTAACACCATAATGATTATACCAATTAGAAGAATAGTTAATGAAATTGTTATAGCTCTCGGTTTTACTTTGTACACACGTATGGGACGTTAATTTACCTTAGACGAATATCTACACTAGATTCCCTTCCAGTGTCTATTCTACAGGACTTCAACTCAACTCAGATCAAGAACACGTGATTAGCCTGACCACAACGTAAATATATTTCCACACCAAAAACCCAATACAATCCAACAACAATGAGCAATCAATAATAAGTAATAATGAGGATAGAGGAATATATAACTCATTTGACACCTATCAGACTATCTACATGTCTGACTAAGCAAACAACCGATCATTATCATTCTCGCCCATACATCAGAAATGAAATAGAATGACATAATGATTCTTTCTTTTTTATTATTATTAATATTGCATTCAGTTCTCAAAATTATAATAGGACGAAACGGCCATCTAGTGCTTCCAGGTTATCCATGGTGGTCTAGCTTCAATTGACTCAAGATCTCAACTATAATAATAATATTTTCTTTTTTTTAAAAAACGTTTATATTTTCTCATTGTTAATAATCAATTACACAAATGATCAAACTATGTTAGGAATTTCAATATCACCACTTATTGATATCAAATAGTAGAGATTAGTAAAATTCTAAATGTAAAATTGTAAATGACTCCATATAGTGTTCCAATTAAAGAAATATGAGATATAATGGAAGATTTTGAAACGTTATTTAAGCTATTGACAAATGTTAATAAATCGAAATGGGGATTTGTAGTCTAGTGGTTGAGTATTTATGGTAGGCCATGATCAATGGAATCTAATCCATGGTGAGTGTGAGACAGTCATCCAACTCAGACAATGGATGAAGGGTCGCACAAGATCATGGGTCGATTGGAGTCAAACATTAACACCGTTGTATGCCTGCCCAGTGGTCCAAAGGTTAATTGTTCGAGCGTGAGACAGATGGTCCTGAGTTCTAGTCCCGCATGCAGGATCATGGATGCGCACTGTTGAGTATTCCCATATTAGAATGAAATGGCAGTCCAGTACTTCCAGGTTTTTAATGGTAGTTTAGTTTAGATCGACTCATTAATTCAACTGTTACAAATGTTAATAAAGTTTAATGCAAGTATACAAACTAATACGTACTGTTTTACAAACAGTATTACACTTAAGTATTTGACATAGTCCAATATATATGTGAAAAAATAACTGGGTTTATTAGAATAGCTAATGTGTTTGAACGTCAGAAGAAATCACGTGAATATGTGGCAGTGCTAATTGGCACAACGTGCTCAAACCAAATTTAAGTGGATATGATTGTAAATTCATAAAACTTTTCTGTTTCAATGACCCAAACCTTCATGATCTTGTAATGCACCCCATATAAACTTGGAACATAATAATTTATAGCCCTATCACTAATTTTAATAAAAAATCCATACAAACCCTTGTATGAACTTCTCATGTGTAACTACAATAATATTGGTAATATTGTAAATGAGCACACAATATTCTTGACGTTCTATCTAAATAGATTTCTGCATATCCATGCTTGCCTGTCTCCGTTTGTCTATATTATCTTTGTCTATTTGACCTACGCATTGATATTATAACCGAATCATACATTAGACTTCAACTTCGTTTTACATTTATACTGCCGCGAGCTAAAACTGTACATTATATATATATATATATATATATATATATATATATATATATATATATATATATCATATTGATTACAATATAATGTTGAGTAATTGGAAGAAATAGAATTACAATAATCAAAGTATTTTATCCTGATCATAATAATTCCTAAATTTAAATGACATAATAAGCTGTCGAAGTGAATTGATATGGCTTCGATCTTAAGTCTAAGTTAACACAAGAAGTTAAACTGGATTAATTACAGACAAGTCAGGCCAGTTACTAACATATATCTAACATTCTGAAATTACAGTAATTATTAATGTTCTATGTCCATATGATTTTCATACGACAAGATTGCATGATAAATTTAAACAGTGAACCAACAACTGTGAAATAAAATGAATTCATATTATTTCACGAACCTTGTTGTTCCTGCTCAGCGCATAGAATTTTAAGATCTTGAATACTAATGAGTTCGGATTTTGATAATTGTCGATTTCTCAGGTACCTGTTGCAGAAGCTACAAAATATTCATACAGTATTCACACCCATCCTTTAGTCATCCATTTGCATCATGTATGCTCTGCAATTCAGTTTGGTTTTAGGCTAACTTCTCCCTCTTCTTTTCTAGTCTTCAAAGTATTCTCCACAGTCCTTCTATTTGCTTTTTAATACCGTGGAACTCTCTCCTTTGACTGTCGACACTGTTCCGTTATACATTACTTATAATGAATCCTCTGAGTAGCATTCACTATAGTCTAAGTGAAGCAACAACCTGTTGTACTCTGTTTCAATGTTTGATGGTTTGATGGGAGCTGGCAAGAATGTGATACAAAATGTGAGATTCTAACTCGTGACATCTAAAAGTATTTTCAATGAGACATTGAAGGTCTTACTGATCTTTTTTATGACATATATGAACACTAATTTATCACAGAGTAATAAATAGTCAATATTAATATCATAACTGACCAAATGAATTTTTCATTTTATTTTATATAAGACTGGGTTCTTTTCATTATGTCTCTGTATGTTTAAAGTTGAAGATGAATGTGAAACATTAATTTTAATATGTTTCATACAATCGATTAATATCTGAACGATAACATATCTCCAATGATACTGGAACATATCGAAGTATTTAAAAACTGTTACTTAATTATTAAAAAGTAGTTTGTTAGTAGAGAACATTTAGAGAACGAACTCTATTAGTTATTAAACTCTATACAAGTATGCAGTCTGCTTTATATGATCTCAATCGTAGGAGTTGAATTATTCTCCTTCTGAAGCGACATTGTTATCTTGCACGTTCTCAATACAAAACAAGATAATCAGAAATTCTGTTTTCTTTTCAAGTTTAATACTTGGTGAATTGTTTCTGTAGAGTTACAAGTGAAAACAGAAAAGTAACATAATATATTGAATGAAATCATTAGAATTCAGTAACATCATAACTGTTATGTCCTTAACTTTACAAATATCACGAAATACGATTACCAAGTAAGATATGCTGACTTATACGATGCAACTAATGACCCATATACTAGTACAAGAAACCTAGAGTTCCAATTGGTCCTTTTTCCGCCTAGCCCTGCCTGTTGAGTCTAGAACGCCAATCTCAGTCTCCGCGATACAAATCATATATCTCGAACATACTGGGTTTATGTACAAATAAATCAGACCACATCATGCCATAAAATAGAAAATAACGTCTATACAACATCAAGCCAAAAAGTGGCTATGATTGTGATTGACTGTTACTACTAAATTGGGATTATCTCAAGAATAGTAAATCGTATGATAATAGCCAATAAGTCAAATGAAAGCTTATAATTAAAGGAATATGAATATACATATAATGTAATTACTTAACAGTCATCCAATAAAGACATTTGTATAATATTAGTTCATAAGTAATTCCTATCTGTTATTATTCACTTATTCTCATCCGGATATAACAATAACAATGCCATGGGTTGTATAAGTTACAACAGAAAAACTTCTAGGTAGACAGAAATTCATCTGCTCCTGGAAATAGATTTTATCCACATTTTCAGTACAATATTTCCAGTATATTCTGACCAACTCATAAAAATAATGATTAATTTGATCATGAAACATCACATTGCTTTCAGTCTTTGTGATAGCGTCAAGAAATGTCTCAAATGGATGTGGTTGTTCAAAGTTTATGATTTATTTTTACTTTATACTCTTTCAAACGATCTAAGCGGATCTATGCTGTTCAACCACATTAAAGAATACATGTGATCAATGAAGAATAAATTGGGAATTCTGCAACCAGTAATTTAAGAACAATAGTTGTAACAGATGGATTTCAGCTATATTATTTATGAAACAGATATTATATGAAACTTTGGACCATGGTCACATTATATCAAAAAAATGACTGAGGTTAGAAATATGAACTATTAAGTATTAACTATATATTCAAACAATATTGCACTCACTACAAGATCTGAATGTTCTATGTTCAAGTTTCAATGGGAATTTTAATAATCAATCACTAGTGATAAAACCTCTATCTCTTAGGATGAAATAAATTTCAGATATCACTTAGTTGAAAATAATTGTCTAGTTTTGTTATAATTTGTGGCCTCTTATGTTCTATCAATATATAACGTAATGATCCCGCCAATTAGAGAACAGTGATTTATCGACCGGATCAATGAGTCATAAACATGTACGAGAAGTCTAGAGTCTTGATATATACAACCTAAATAGATCATATCAAACCATTAAAAGTAGAAAATAATCAGCATATGCTCACTAGTGACTGGCTTCAAGAGATATATCCTGGAGTACTAGTGAGAGGCAGTGACCAGTGGAGTTCAACCAGGTCTGTTGTGAGATAGTAACTCAATTAAAACAATGGTGGATGTGTCGCTCAATTTCATGGATTAGTTGAAGTTAGACATTAACACCGTTGGATGCCGGCTCAGTGGTTTAGTGGTTAAGCGCCTGGAGTGAGACCGATAGGTCAAGTAGTTCGAATCCCTCTAGGCAAGGTCGTGGATGCGCAATGCTAGAGAGTACTACAATAAGACGAAACGGGCGTCCAGTGCTTCCAGGTTTTTCATGGCGGTCTAGCTTCAATTGACTCATGATCTCAACTATTGAAA